AAAATTAATTGTCTATATCTATATGTTAAATTTTTCTGCAGGTAAAATTGCAGGCTGTGATTGTCTACCAAATGTCTATAAATGAAACATTTTGAAGATACATCTATTGTAGACCTAATTTCTTGCAACAAGTTGTCCTTCACTCTACCCTTGTATTCTTCAATAAATTTAGCTTCATTTGTGACATGTTGAGCTTCCCATACATAGGAAAAACCATGATTTGATAATAATCTTCTTACTGCTGTAGCCCAATTTTCATGATCATTACAGGTCTCAAGAAGATTTAGATAAACACCATTTAAGATGCAATTGTCAGTAGTCAAAAGTTTCAACCAGTATTTTATAATACAAATATATCTATTAAGTTTCAGTGGCAATCGCCCCAGTTCACTGTATACCATTGCTGTCGTGGCTTTTTTGTTTACCCCCAGTAGTAATTTGCAAAAAAGGAGGTGAACCTTTTCGATTTCTTGAGACCTGTGAAAACCCCATGTTTCACTTGCATAGTTCAGAATAGGTAATACATACGTGTCAAAAAGAAAAATCTCTGTTTCAACATTAATTTTCATGTTTCGACATGAATTTCTTACTCTATACATGACTTTTCTTCCTTGACTTGCAATAAACTTCTGTGTGAGGGAGAATTTTCCATTATAATTGATGACCAGCCCTAGATATGAAAAATAATTCACAACCTCCAATTTGTTACCATTATAATACCAGTTTTCATGATCCGCCACAATACCACCATTTCTGAATACTACAATATAAGATTTGTCTGTGTTAACTGTCAAATTCCAATCATCTGAATATAGTTTAAGTTTGTCTAACATGTTTTGGAGTTCTGTAACAGATTCAGAAAATAATACAGTATCATCTGCATAGAGCAATAAATAAAGATTCAAATCCCTTAGTTGCAACCCATTACACTTCTCTGAAAACAAGAAACTCTCAAAGTCATTCACATAAAGAGAATACATTAAAGGAGATAATGCCTCTCCCTGGAGTAGTCCAATATCTACATCAAAATAAGTGCTATTTAAACCCTTGCATCTGACACATGCTTTAAATTCAGTATAAACTGTCATCAGTTGGCAAGCTTACTTATTGCTGATGCATTTTAAATGCATTGTCGTTGACCAAGTGCTCGTTAACAATAAACCTGTTGATTATGCACCGCTGCAGTTCTCAAGCCAGGTAATAACAAGTATCAAACTCGTCTTGGTGGGCTTTCATATTTTTAAATATATCTCATTTATTTCATGGGGTTATTTTATTGGTATTTGTAAATTACGTTAAATATCAATATTTAAACAATGAAAGGGATAATAACTCTTCGTATGAGATCTATATTTCACAATAAGAACATTGTGAATAACTCATGTAAATATAATATATTGTTTTATCTCAAAAATGGCAGTTATAGCTATTATTCTGATATCTGAGCTTGTCTTTAGACCACATGACCTCCATTGATGTCTATATTCTGTTAACATCTCTTAAGAGATTTTAAGAAATAAACTAACTTTTTAGAAAAAAAAAAAAAAAAAAAAAAAAAAACAGGGACTAACTTTGAATGTAGAAATGGATTCATTTACCTTTGGTGAGTATGGAAAATTGTTGTTTACTCCGGGAAAATTCATTTTTGGACCGAACTCAAAAGTTATCCCTTTAAGTCAAACACGGTCGCGAACATTAATAAAAGAAATTGCTCTCAGGGTATCTTGAAGCATGCGTATGACCAGGCATTACTTCCGTATAAGAAAATGTGTAGAGGAAAAACAGGAAAAAGCGCGTTATATTTAAAAAGAAAAAATGGGAACTGCTGTAATAAAATGGTTCGTAATCCTAATTCGTTGATGCTTTGAGGATTTGTTTCTGAAGGTTATTAAATAAATTAAGGGGTCTAGGATATTAAAAATACGTCTTAAACTCGATTTTTAGTTTTTAAAACGTTAGAAATAATCAATATTGTATCTAATACACAATAAAGTTATATTTTTGCAACACAGACTAGAAATATACATTTGGACGAGTTTTTCTACCTAACCGTGGATTTACCATTTTATAACTTGAAACGAAAGTTCTGCGTCTGTACGCAAAACTTTTTGCAGATATATATTTGTAAGCTTGTCAAACCCAAAAACATGTAGCAGATCAAGGTAAAAGAGCATTGTTTGCTACTAGTAGCATGGAAAAAATCATTTATTTTATGTGTTTACTTAATGTGCAGTTTTACGTACGTTAGTATATTTTAAATTATGCATGGGGATTCAACCTGGTAAGGGGTATAAGAAAGCCACAAACAGATTTTTAAAAAGAATGTTGGGTGTAAAAATAGCACTACTAATAACTTAGTTCATTGTATATAACTTAGTATATTATGAAAAGCGGGAGATACCTAATTCTTTTAAGTCTGAAGCTACAATTTTTTTAATATTGATTTAAATCCCCTCTTCGAAAAATTGTATTATAACACCGTGCTATAAAGATCCAATCAAGAAAAAAATTGCTTGGATAAAATTGAGTACGGAATGAACTGAAGACACTTGGCTTGTCATTAAGTTTTCATGAAAATATGTCAGGTAACTT